CCCCCCCCCCATGAGCGTATAAGGCCATGAGTCGGGTGGCGGAACATAGGAGCTGGACATAAGACCCGCTGGGTCCGGCGGTGGTGGGCCGGAGACCTTGTACGATGGAATGGCTGCTTTTGCCTTGGTCGCCGGGCTGGTGACAAGCGAGGAAGTCTTGGGGGCCTTCGGTGTAGGTGCAAGTGCAGTCGATGCGTCGCTGGCAGTCGTGATAGAGCCCGTAGCCGGAGGAACAGGAGTGTGAGCGTGTCCAGTGGGACTGTCCACTCGGCCGGGAAGCAGGTCGAGCTTTGGCAGTGGGCCGTGGGGTCGGCTCACCATCGGAGGAGCGTTTGGCCATGATCGACCTGTTGGATACGACGAGGGGCAGTTCCTGAACCAAATTTGAGAGAACACAGCTGTGGTAAGAGAGGGAGAGCAGGCTGTGTCATGAACATCAATCCAGCAGGCGCCACAGAAGATGCTTTCGCAGCTTAAGATACAGCCGAGGTCGCGACTATGGAGACGCAGGCATGAGACAGATAGAGTCGCGACCTGTGAGAGGTCGAGGCGTATTGAGGCCATTTCATGACTCAGAGAGTAAGGTCCCGGCGAGGACACCTCCAACCGGTTGAAGTCCTGAGTGGCAGGGCGTGCGGTGAGGGAGAGCTGATTGGCGCCAGGCGAGGTGGCCTCAAGCCTGTGCCAAAGATGGTTAAAAGGAGGGTACGCGGGACTGGCAGATTCCCCACCTGCGGTATGATGAAGGCGTTGCTGTCGACAGACTACGGTACAGTGAGGGGACAGAGAAAAGGCTGCTGCATCTGACAAGGTTACGCAGCCATTACTGAGGGCAGACCACAAACCCTGAAGAAACCAAGGCGAAGAGCCCCTTTATATGGGTGCGAGCAGTGATGGTCGCTGCTGGCAGATCAGTCCATGGTCTCCAGGGCAGCCACCGTGCCATAGGGCCTGTAGGAGGCGGGTAGTCTGTGTTGGGACTGTGATGAGGAGCTGTACCTGCAACCGGCCTCTCGGCAAAGGCAAAGGGATTGCCAGTGGCCTTGCTCGTTAGACCTGTACGCCCACGTTCCTCAAGTGTCATAGGCTCAAGTTTGGCCTGCATCTGGAAGAAGGTTTTGGCCACTGATTGCGGTGCAATCCTGTCAGGTAACACGAGATGTGGTTCGGTTTGAGCGGCTAAGAGTGGACCTGAGAGGTTTCCGCATGCAAGGACACGGCTCGGTAGACGACCTGGAGCTTGTGTACACATCGCTCTCATGCTGGCATGCATCTCAAGCTCCGCGCTGGCCAACCGACGCAAGAGATGGGTGCGGGTGACCATTCCACGTGTATCCAGACACGAACCTGAGAGAGCATAGCTGTGATCCTGATAGAAGGACATCGACCATAGGAGGCTGACAGTTGCTGGGCGGTCAAACCTGACGTGTCGACCAGAAAGACAGAGACAGAGGATGGCAGGCAGAAATGCGAGTCTGACAGCGTGGTGCCTGCCTGAGCTGTCCTGCTTCGTCGGGATCTTGTTGACTACGCGCTTGTGCTCAGGTTTAGCCATGGCAGCACCGAGGTCCTTGAACGCCCTGAAATCGCCAAGGGGAGGGAAAGAAGATCCCCACAGGGGCAGGTCCAAGCCCCGACACCTCCGAAAAAGCACCAAAAAACCCTAACACTGAGGGCGCCCTGCTGTTGAGCCTTACATACATACATACATACATACATACATACATTCTTCCATCGCCACATACATACCTACATACCCTACGTACATAAATGCACACATGCATGCATTCAGTACGAGCAAGCATGCATATATATATATACATATGTAAATATATATATATATATTTATATTTATGTGTGTGTACATACATATGTACATATATATATATACTTATGCAAATGAATACGCAAATAAATATGTGATGTTTATATAGTTACATTTTATGATTTTATGTGTATACATATACGCACACATACGTGCCTTGCCCTTACACTAACTATGCAGTGCGCCCACAGCCTGATCATTGGAGGCAGCAGTGCCTTCCTCGGGACTCAAGGCATCGACTTTTCACTTTAACATAAGCTATCCTAAAATGCTGTGATGTTAGATACTCTGTTGCACAACCATCACCAACTCTTCTGTCACGAGCTCTCGTGCAACTCATGCCCGTAGTGCATCGGACCAGCGTGGTGCTATGACAAGTTGTGAGATCTGGTTCCATGGTCCGAAAAGTTCCCTTGAAAAAGAACACTGAGCGAGCCCGACACTCTTCTCTTGGCCGAGCAACAGCAGCGCCACCACGGCTGCTGCTGCTGCTGCTTTCTTCCCGCTTCCGCTTCTTTTTCTTCTTCTTGCCCCTGCCAGAGAAGACAGCATGCCGGGAAGCCTACCAATGCTGATTGAACCATGAAGAGCCGAGATCACCCCATTGGCAGAAAGCCCTGCCTGTGGGCAGAAGGCATGAAGGCTGCCCACCTGAAGCTCCACGAGATTTCATGGCATGCTGTGGTCTCTGACCCACTTCCCAGACTTCCCAGCATCTGTGTCTGTTTCTTGTCAAGGCACTGTGGCGGCAGCAGGAATGGTGGGAAGGCTGGCGGCAAGATCCCGGTCCTTGGCTCTGAACTCTGCCGGACTGGAGGGCCCCGGCCACTCTGACCTTCGCTGTTCGGGTAGACTAAGTTCTTTCGCCTCCCTTCCTCTGAGCATGGGATGTCCAAAACGAGCCGCAAGGCTGCCATGCGCTGATCTACGATCTGCCTCCGGCATTGCAGAGCCACGGGACTAGGAGTGAGAAGAAGAAGAACAAGTAGACCGGCATTAGATGCAGTACGGCAGCTTCGCCTACTCTGCAGTCATGACCGGTCTCAAGACCAGAAAGGATCATCCTCGTCTTCTTCGTAAAGGTCATCATCGTCGTCAAATGGCTCGTACTCAGAAGGTGGGATTTCCGCATCCTCTGTCCTCCTTGGGGTGATGTCGTTTGGATCTTGGAGCCCCTTGGTCACCCTGAGATTGCCGAAGCCTTCTTCTCTAAGTACTTCCTGCAGGGGGACCTTCTCATAATCCTCGTTGTCATCCCTCCAAATGCTCTCAATATCATAGTAAGATCGCTGCACCGGGGTCATGATGTTGATGGTCATGCGGGGATACACCATGCAGCACCATCCGTTTGCCGCCTCGTCACGGATGGTCTGCCCTGGCCACTGGCTTTTTCGGCGCTTCATTCGTAACTCGTGTCGCATCTTGTTCTCGATCTCTCCGGCGATGGCTTGCAGCTGCGGGCGGGACAGGGCCGTGATCATTACGATCATTTCAAAGCCCTCCTTCACCCAAAAGGCGCTGATGTCCACACCACGCTTCTTGTCCGCAGCCTGGACCACAGTGATCAGGGCCTCTAGAACGGGATCCTTCTCCTCCAACTCGATCAGCGGTGAGGGCGGCTCCGGCAGCACACCGTACTCGCCGTCCACGCGCGCCCTGCGAGCCAGGCTTCTCTCTGAGGGGCCCATTTTGAGCACGCGGCCCTTCGAGAGGCTCTCGACGAAACCTCGGATTGGGGCACACGGCCCTCCGAGCCCATGATCCGGCCCCAAGGTCACCAGTCCCAAGGCCACCGCCACGACCACCCATCGACCCAGACCGGGCAACCTCTGCCCACTTTGCGCAGCCATGGCTTCGTATGGCCTTCTGTTTCTTAACAGAACTGATATGATACTCATGTGTGTTGCACTTCTTCCATGTTACAATGCCTGCAAGTCAATCCTGTAGAATGGGAAGGAAACACATTTCTGCGACAAAATCTCTGGAACCACTGATGCGGCAACGTTTCTGACCGTTTCTGTCATCCCTTGGTCGCAATGCCTGGTTTAAGCTCAGCGTCACAGCTGCCAGGGGTGGCACCACAAGACCTTGGTATGGCATGTGGCCAACAAAAAAAAAGCGCACCACGAACTTGCCGGACACCCCGCTAGTGCCGTGGGGCAGCCCTGTGGGTGCAATCGCCGGGATCCGGCCCGGCGGCTTGCGCTGGCCGAGCTGGAGCCATGCTTTCGCTTCTGCTTCTTCTTCCCCTCCTACCAAGACTCAGCTCGGGGTTCAAGAACTCGAAGCTTTTTTTTGGAGAGGTTCTGACGATACCTGGGCTCCGGAGGGGGTGTCGTCAGTTTCGGAAAACTCCCAAGCTCCCCCTCGGACGAAAACACAGGGGCTCCTTTTCGCGGTGCCTGCCCATGACCACAGCGGTGCCATGCCGACAGCTGGCATGGGCTCAAGAGCTGCTCCCTCGTTCTTCGATCTCGTTGCTAGGCAAAAAGGGGGGGGCTCCTCTTATTAAGGCATCTTCAGGCCTTCTTTCTGCCATGGTTCGGTTAAGTTTTTGTGGATTCCGCTGCGTCCGGCAAGGCGCACACTTGGTCACACGGTACCGTGATCAGCGATGCAGACCATAGGGAGATGATCGGAAGATCCTCCCTCACAGCTGCGGCAGGGCAATGACAGGCGTGCGTTGCCGACCTTCCGAATCTATGCGAAGCCTAAGCTTCCTGGCCCTCGCCCCATGTCATGAGACTCGCGCACTCGCTGACTTTCGCGCATCTCCCTCCGCATCAGCTCAAGGTCTTCCTGGGTGGATGCAGAGATGCAAAGATGCAGGATGTAAGGGGCTTGAGTCCTGGGGCTCTAAATCGGGCTCAGATCTGGGATCCAGGCCCTGCTCTTGAAAGCGATCTGGGAGGATTGGCCACTCTCGTGGCTGGGGTTTGCATCCCTCGGTCGGAGACTCAGGCACGAAGAAAGCTGAAAGGCAAAGGAGTCGAGGCTCCCGACGGAACAGACTGCGGCTCGCCTTCGGGTGTCGACTTGACACCTTCGAAGCGCGCATCCAGGGTCCCCGATACATGACATGACTGCAGTGATGAGGCTCCTGAAAACACTGAAACACTGCAGGACAATGACTGCCCCACCAAGAGTCACCAGAGCCTAGAGTGCCTCTCAAATACTGTCTCGTGTTGGACCGGGGAGATGCTCCCGAGCGTCTGACTCTGGCGGCTCCTGACACTGAAGGCTACGGCCAGTGGCTACCACTCTGCGACTGCGAGAAGCTGCCCACTCCCGCCTCTGCTCGTCCCGTTCTCGTAGCCTTTGAAGCGCGGCCTGACAAACAAAGTCTCAGCTGCACGCCTATGCAATGTGAGGCGCCCAAGTAGCCAACGTCAAAGCGGTGGGCCTGTTGCGCTTCGAAGGCTCTGTGCAGCTGATGTGGATCCTTATAGTTGAACGAACCGCAACGCAGGAGAACGTGAAACCTCTTCTGATCTGCCGCCTGGGCAACACCCCTGGCCCGGCGGTCATAGTCCTGCACAGAGCCGCAAGCATCGTCTTCACTGCAAGCTTCCACACTGTTAAGGCACGCAGGCAGAACCCTCGCCTCGCGGAAACGCGCAAGGCAGGCCGCGACGGCCATGAAGCTCCAACAGACGCAGATGCCCTTTCTTCTCGTGGGTGGGATCCGAGGATATCTCCATGTCACACGCTAGGCAAGATGGCAAAGCCTTCAGGACCTTGTGGGGCTCTTCCTTGGCGTATGGAGTGGGGCGGGGGCTGTGAGTCTGCTTGGGAAGACTCTTGGACCTGGCCCTATTGTGGAGTCTATGAGTCTGTACTATGCTGGCTGTTGCCGTCCAGACGGCATCAAGCTTTGGAATCAAAGACGATGCTGCAGTAATGAGGAAGCAGAAGACGCGATCTCGTGGTCAGTCATTACATTGACAATGAAACGCTTTTTTCGGATCGGGCAGGCTTGTCCAGACCTGTCGAAGCCTCAGGCCTCGCGTCACAGGTCACAAGTCCGTGGCGACAATCATGGACTTGCACGATAACTCCGAAAGAAACACGTCCGGGACGGCACATGCGAGGCGAATTGAGACCGAGAACTTTGGCTTCTGTGGGATTCATGCAGATCTTTGGCCACCACAGGCAGGCATGGAACAGGCGCGGGAACAGCGAGTTTGCAGGAGAAAAACACCCACACCGACCCAGAACGGACACAAAGAATACACCGACGCGTCCCTCGAGCAGAGGACCCCGGCCAGGCCTGCACCGACCGCTTCTCGGGCCGCAGACCTGGGCCCCAGGGTGCATCCGTTCCGCTGCGGCGCTGCTCCCAGTGGCCTCGGCACTCGCAGGCGAGCCGAAGAAAAGCGTAGGGTTTCCGCTTGGAAACAGTGTGGCAAACGCTCTTGAAAGCTCCCAGCTCCCGGGGTCCCGGCTCTGTGCCTCCGCCCGCACCTCCTCGGTGGTCAGCGCGTCCAGCGCGCTGACCTCGTCGGCGGCCAGGGAGAAGTCGAAAACGTCGACCTCGGATCTTTCGGGCTCGGAAAATGGAAAGAGGGCAGTGGGCCACCTCCAAGTCCCGGGCGTTCTCCTCAATCCGGGAGGGCGTGAGGCTCTTGAAAACAATGGCGTTGCCTCCCAGAAAAGCCGAAGGCAAAGAGCAAAGGCATGCCCGCTCCCCTAATCACGACGTCATCGGCTTCCATTCTGACTCGGACGGCCCGTCGGACCGCTTTAAATCGGCTTTTCATTTTCGGGACAGGACCGGGCCCCGGGGCCTTTCTCGAGGTTCCAGCGCAAGCAGACCTGAGCTGGGCTGCGGCCACAGCGCTCGGCGATGGCTTTGACGGTGTCGCAGCTCAGCACAGGCCCTGAAGGGGAGAATTTGGGTATCGGTCATTTTTCCCCCAGCGTCGATGGACTGCAGAGAGGAAAGAGACATCATTGAGGGTCGCGTCTAGAGCGACTGGACCATGCTCAACCCGGGAGGTCCTCCCCGCTGCAGTGGCTTGTAGGCCTCCCAAAGCCAGCAAGTCGGGCTGAGGTAGGCGGGATTAGGCGGCCCCTGAAGGCATGGCCTGGACCACCACACCTTCGTCCTGAAAGAAGTCGCACCACTCCTTGCGATAGAGCAGGGGATTGTTCTCGAAGGTGTTGACGAGCCTGAGTCGCAAACCCAAACGAGATTTCCATCAAAAACCTGGCAAGGCTGCCACTAATCCGAACCGAGGTGCGGTGCGAGCGATGCGGACTTCATGAGCTCTTGGTAGTCTGCGGGGGAGTAGTTTGAGATGCCTGTGCAGGGTGTCGCTGCTTTCATTGCGCTGTTACGATGGAGCAAGCAGCAGGCCACAAACCTGCAAAGACAAGAAACGACTCGTGCACTACTGGACTTGCATCTGCGCACAGGCAAGAAGAACGCTGCCTAATGCTTTTGCTTTCCCACTCCGCACCAACTCCTGCAGGAGACAACAGCACCCTGCACTCCAAACTCGGCCAAAAAATGGTAGAAGCATCCTCCAGGGCAAGGTAGGCGGCGACGTGCTTGCCGGGCATGGGCCAGTGCACCATTACCTGAGGCATGCAGTGCTCCTGCACCCAAAAGTCCATGCGAACCCAGTAGTGACTCTTCCCAGGTTCCGGCAAGATCCACTGCCCCGAGGCCCAACTCGTCGATGGAGATCTCCTGAGCTCATTGCTGAGAAAATACTTAAACCCAAGCAGAACCCTCCTCCGAAGACGCTGAAATGCCCAGGAAGCGTCAGCACTGCGAAGAGCAGACGAGGGATCCCCGAGGTCAGTTGTCCAAACCTGACCGCCGCAACTGTGCAACTCAGAAGGGGTCACATTCTGACAAGCACGGTGGGTTCATGTACCGCTGATCCAGGAGCAGTATGGACGTCTCCAGGCCTTCGTCGTGATGAAGAGCTCGGATCTGCTGTGGCCTGCCAAGTACTTTGCACACCCCGACACCGGCAAAGACAACACGTGGGCACACACAGCAGCATGTGCGACAACGGGATAAAACCAACCCATCGCAACCTTCTTTGAGCCACTGGCGCAGCGCTGCACCGCATTCCGCCTCGCAGCCGGCCAGCTCTAGAAACAATTTCGCAAAGGCTTGAAGACCGGCCTCGTTGTCGTAGAAGGAGGCGAAATCAAAGTGACGCAAGCCTGCCTTCAAGCCTGCGCCGATGACAACCTTCCATGGTCTGAGCCCAGAATGCCCGACTGCCTTTTGCATAAGACATGCACGGCCCGTCAACGTGTAAATTATGGCCTTCACCTGATCTCGGGGGACGTTGTAGAGCCCCAATGCCAATTTTTGCATTGGTGCACCATTTGCCAAGGACACAGTTGGAATGAGTGCCTTGCCATGTCGAGACTGGACGAAGCGTCAAACAGAACACCCACTGATTCTCAAGCATGTGCATTGTGTGTGCCTTGCTTGCTCCCAGCCTCAGAAAGCCCAACTTACAGGAATGTTTTCTCAAGATTTCTCAAACCTCCTTGCAAGACCGCAGCACTGGCTCGAGGTCCCGACATTGCGATAAGAGCGGTCAAACAATGCCAGCACCTGCGCAGCAAACAACAAACCATTGGCAACTTGTCAACCATGCTAGTGTATGAGAAGGAATCGATCAATTATATATATGTGTACTGAATCTGCTGTCGCTAGAATGTTTGCAAACGACATCGGCGATTGTTGGCACCTTCATGTAGCTTACAGCGCTCAGCTCTTTAATCACAAGCAACCAACCACAAAGCAATGGTGTCCGGCCTGCAAATTGTTCGCCTGCGCGCAAATCGTAAAGAAACAAAGTCAGTCTCATCCACAATGAAGCTGCACGCCCTGCCCCCAAGAAGAAGCTGCACTCAGCCTCTTTCGAGCCATTTGTGCGACAGGTCTGACTTCCAACTTACAAATCTATGTATACATGCATTGAATCGCTTGGTCCGTTTAGCAATGTCCATGTGGCCAACACCTGTCTCAATTCAATGATTTGCTTACGACTTGCCAGTAAATGAGACACCACATGTTGTCGGTGGGCGCGGCAGGGTCTGAACCAATGGCAACAACGCTCGTCACTTACCACTAGGCAAACATTGAATCAGATACGTACATTTTCTCGAGTGGACTGTTGCAACAATGTACCAAGCGTGCAATGGTCAAAACGCCGTATCCTGAACACACAACAGGCAATCGAAACCAATATATAAATTTGCTACCCCCCCCCCTCAGGTACCTAGGTTTTCGTGTTTTTGCTTATGTGTTGCTTAAGCGGGCTTCTGTGTGAATGAATGATGTTTGGCAGCGTGCCCGCGACGGTGAGCATATTGCTCAGACTGAGCGCGTTCTGAGGCTGCCGCACGGTCATTTCAGCAGCAAGTCAAACTCTCAGCACAACACGGATGTCACATGCACCCTAGCCATCGACATACGAAGTTAAGAAACATTATGCAGCATATTGGGGGGTCATACTATGTCAGCGGCAACTCAAACTCATAGGAAGAACTGTTCTGCCAACGATGCCGGTGGTCGCGAAGAGCCGACATACAGTAGTGAGCGAG